AAGCAAAATATAGGCTGAAACTATGAGATTTGGTTAAAATGGGAACTGGAAAATGGGATTAGGACCCACCTTCAGGACCCTCTTCGAAAAATATGCCTTACACATCTCTTCTGCAGAACTCCATTTTCTAGTTGCTTAGCTGCAGCATTGTACAAAATAAATGTGAGGTAAGTGATTTCAAGAAATAATTTGTTATTGTTAAACTGTCTGCAGAATTTAAAACAAGAAAGAAAAGATGAAGCTAAAAAATATCTTGACTACAAAGTGAATCTTGTTTTACTTACCATCCTCAGGCATCCTGACAATGTCTCCACCCTTGATGCCGCAGCCCTGCGCCGTCAATCCACAGATCTCGACTGAATACTGKGAGAAAGGATCTAAATTCTCAAATAACGCATAAACTTCATCTGGTAGGTGAGTTTTGAAGCTTGTCTCACCAGATTTCATATTGGATATCGTGACATTGTAACCAATCATGATACCATTTCTGAATGCAGGATCAATGTGATCCCATTGAACAATCACGGCTGTTGAGCTGACCGCTGTTGCACTGACATCAGATGGAGGAGCAGAAGGAACTGAGAATGAATAAGAATAATGTTATATGAAATTGTCTATCAAAAAGGGAAGAAGAAGAAGAAGAAGAAGAAGAAGAAGAAGAAGCAAGTTCATCAACCAAGTCACTAATACTTAATTAAGACAATAATTTAAGGGTCTTACCATCTTCTCTTGTCCTGATATTAACGGGGTCACTGGAGATTCCGTTACCATTCTCTGTGTAGGCTAGAACCCTAAAAGAGTATATGCTGTATTTCTTCAACCCATCAACAATGGTTTCTTCCCTATCTGGTGTCACTGCTTTCATTTGGTCTGGYGTRTAATGCCCTCCACYTTCTTTGTAATATATTCTGTAGCTTTTCAATGTTAAGCCATGCAAATGGATGGATGAGATGGAAGACCATGATAGAGAGATTGAGGTAGAGTTATGGCTTTTGATGCTTTGTACTCGTGGGCTGGAACTTGGAACTGCAAATCAAAAAGTCTATCAAGGTTGTTGTTTCAATAGCCCACTTCCAAGATATGCTTCACTTGTCATGCACAAAGGTTTCTGTTTCAAGGCTATGTGCGAAATTAAATTTTTATTCTTTTCTCCTGTCACGTATCACTGAGCATTATGCACGAAGCCTCGCATTGAAACCTTTGTACGTGACAAGTGAAGCATCCCAACT